AAAAGATCCATGATGGCTGAATGGATAAGACTAAGGTTAGCTTGGCTTCCAAATAATTCTTAGGCACAATATAAATTTATATCACACACATGGATAATGAATATAACATCTAAAAATTATTTTAAGGCATATAATCACATAATTAAGAAAAATTCACTTAGGCAAATAAATCATCAAATAGGCAATTTAATAAATAAATAAGCACTTAAGAAAATTAAGTGGACGAGGACATCCACTTAATTCGGTTGTTGGATTATATGTTTTAAACACAAAGTCGAGCTAAGAAATGAAATGAAAATAGTCTTATTCTCTTATTCATAAAACGGGATGTTACACAAATGCAACCTTCATCTTTTTTTTTCCCTTAATTTGAATGGAGGAGTGAGAGGCTATATTACTCCCTCTAGGGGGATTAGGCTAGGGGGTCCTATATCTCCCTACATTTTTATCATTGTTGCTGAGGTGATCTCTAGGTTGATAAATGCTGAGTTAGAAGGGGAATATTCAAAGGGCTAAAGATTTCAAGGAGTTCTCAGTTAACTTATCTATTGTTTGCTAATGATTCCCTTGTGATTTGTGCTGCTAATGCAAACCATGTCTCCTTGTTACTTAGCATTATGCACAGGTACCATATGTTCACAGGGCAAATAGTGAATTTGGAGAAATTTTCTATAATTATTTTTTTTAGTAAGAACATTTCCAGGCTGCTTTAGTTAAGCATTTGTCAAACTTTAGATGGAATTCAAGTGCACATGTCATCTTGATACATTGGTCTTCCCCTGCGAATAGAGAAATCTAATAAGAAGACCTCTGATTTTGTGTTGGCTGCTGTTAGAAACAAATTGATTAACTGGAATTACACATTTTTATATATTGTTGGGAAGGAGGATCGAATTAAAGTTGTGCTTAATGCCTTACTTGTCTTTAGTGTGTCTCGATTTTGCCTGCCTAAAGGAATTTGCAATGAAATAGTTATATTTTGTGCATCTTTCTAGTGAAGTAAATGAGAGGATAAAAAACAAAGTATCCACTGGAGATCCTACAAGTTGGTGACTATCCCAAAAGAACTAAGTGGACTGGGATTCCAGGATGTCCAACTATTCAATGAAGCCTTGATCTTAAAATAGCCATGGAGGATTGTCACAAAGCCTAATCTGTTAATAAGAAAAATTCATAAAGGAAAGTACTTTCCTAACTCTTCATTGTTTGAGGCTAAAAATTCTCAAAGTGCATCTTGGTTATGGAATTGTTGGGTAATGGTGAAAAATGCTTATATTCAGTTCTTTAAAATTGAGATCTAGGATGGACATACAACTAGAATATGGGAGGATCCCTGAATACCATCTCTAATATCAGTTGAAACCTTTAGGCAGAGAAGATATGGATGGAGTGCTGACTTGGGTTTGGGAATTATTGGAAAAGGGGGACAAAAAGTGGAATGAGACCCTTGCTAGATCTATATTTTGTGATTCTGATTGTGAGGCTATCTTGAGGATCAATTCATTAAACCTAGCCATGAAAGACAGATAATCTTGGGCTTTTGATTCTAAAGGTCTGTATACAATGTTCAAGTCTTACTCAAGCTTTATTCTTGACAAATTCAGAAGACTTGACTTGGCTGAGGGGAGTGAGACTGCGGAATTGAATAAAAAGGTGAGAAGAAGAAGTTAGAACCTAAAGGTAAAAGGTAAGTTGAAGCATTTTATTAGGAAATGCTACTCAGGGGTGCTGCTAGATAGTGCCAACATCAGAAAGAAATGCTTGGATGTGTATATCATATGCAAAAGTTGTGGTGAAGAAGCTAAGACCACTAAGCACATCATGTTTAACTGCAGCAGGGCCACAAGGATTTGGAAACCAGCACCTCTGGATTGCGAAGGAATTCAGCGTGCCATAAGGAGTTTCAAAGAGTGGTGGTTGAGTAGTGCTCAGTGGACTGCAAGCAAATTTCAGAAGCCCGAATACAGTTGACAACTTACATTTTCTGGTGGTTGTGGAAGACTCTGAATCTCTGGAAATTTCAAAATACCTGGATACCCAACAGAGCTTTGATCAGTGCAACTTGGATTGAATGGAGAGAATTTGCTCAGGTGTAGTAGAGACAATGAAGACTTCATTAAGAGGACAAGACAACTATGTCTTTGGGTTCAGTGGTTATTTTTGCCTCCTTTATTTTCTTTGTTTTGTGTGCAACTAAAGGTTGAAGGTTGAGTTTTCTACCTTTAATCTGATGTTCTTGTTCTTTTTTTTTTTTAAATAAACTTGAATTCAAGCGATTAACTGATTAACGATACAGTTCGAAATAAAGGAGAAAAAAAAAACGGGAGATAATCCTTCCACAAGAAGGATCCCGTTGAACGAATTGCCCATATAGCCATTTTATGGGCTATAACATTGTGCTCGCGACTAACATGACTACAATTTCCACAATTCAACAACCTCAAAAGATCAATAATATCAGAAAAATGATGTTCTTGTTTTGGTGTTGACTTTGTTTTAAGACACTACTGTTTGGGTATTCCTCCTGTATTTTATCAGTTGTATAGGGTCAGTTGGCCCTCCGATTGTAAAACGTGTTTTTGTTCATCTGTGGCATATTATATCGTTTTGAAAAGAAAAAAATAGTAGTTTACGTATCTCTTTCTTGCAGACTTCAGTCATATATCCTACCTCGATAACGACTCCCCAGAGTAGCTCGATCCTACTAACTAGACATTATCGCTTCACCCCGACCATTAGCCCCAACTTCACTCATAGTAGCTTGACCTCCCGCTAATTCATCCTCTTGTTCTGACCTGGATCACAACCCCAAAATCGATTCAAAGCAACTGGTCAAGCCCCTACTAAACGAGCTCACCATGACGCAATATCACATCAATTCAGAGGTTGTATTTGCACAAAAATAATAATTTTAACATAATATATACGCAAATCACATCTAATCTTTTATGTAATATTTTTTAACTTAATAATCACTAAACTTTATTATTATTAGTATTATTTTAATCATCAATGATGTCAAAGTCTAGAAAGTAGTAACTTCTTCTTATCCGCTTGACTTCACTTCACGCCAGAGGAAGACCCATCACCAGCCTTAAACTCATACGGTCATACCGTAATCCCAAATCCGTTATTAATCACACAAGAAAAACAATGATAAGTGTGATCTGGGTCAAATCAAATCAAATATTCTAATCACCCGTATCATTGACTGGTCAAACGTCCCAACACCGTTGGATCTCGGAGATCTAACCTAAACCCAAAACTACCTACCCTCCTAACCCAACCACCCCCAACCCCCAATGAAAACCACATGCTCTCTCTTCCCCCCACGGCCACTCTCCGTCGTCCTCCGCCGCACTGACCTCTTTAAGTCGCCGAAACTCCGCCGCAGCTGTCCCTGAGATCTTCACTCCGGCTCCACTGCATTCCGTAAAGTCGCGCTCCAGATCCAGCTTCTCCGGCTGACCGCCAGATCGTCACGACCGAACTTTCTCGTGAACGTCCGTTCGGTGAATTGATAGCTGAGGACTCTGTTTTCAGCTTGTGAAGAAAGTAAAAATTTAGCTGCTGTAAGTTCGTAGTGATCTGCGTTTCTGAAGCTCGTCACTCGAGGATAGCTCTGCGATTAGGCTTCGAATGGATGTCTGATTGATCCACGGCGACTCGGCGAGAGCGTATGGTGTTAACTTTGTGCACGCTGATTGATAACATGGGCTTACTCTGCAGCAGACAGAGACACAGCAGAGCTGATTTTGAAGACAACGAGCAGGTTTGTCCGGAAGTTTTCATATATTTCGTTATTCTACATCTTTCAATATGTTTTCTGCTAGTCATTATTCAAGTCTTGTAAATGCAGACTGCGGAAATCGATAGGCGAATTGAGCAAGAAACGAAGGCGGAGAAGCATATTCAGAAACTTCTTTTACTTGGTATCTGTATAGTCTTGGAAACTGATTATTGGTTCTGCATAATTATAAGTATTCTTGTGATATGAACATCATGTAGCTCTTTCTTGTTTCATTTAGGATAAATGATGTTACACCCACACCTGTCTAACATTTTTGCGTCATATCTTTAAATGGTGTTGTTGTGTTGAATGTGTTTATGTGTTATTGTTTTTCAGGTGCTGGAGATTCTGGGAAGTCCACCATCTTCAAGCAGGCAAGATGCACTGTTCCCTTTTTTTTTCTGATAAGATCTCTAGCTATTTGTTGGTTAGTCTATGCACTTAATTCCAGATGATGAGATCAGCTAATGGCTTTGGACACAATGCAGATTAAACTTCTTTTTCAGAGTGGATTTGATGAGGCTGAGCTGAAAAACTACATCCCTGTCATCCATGCCAATGTTTATCAGACAATAAAAGTACGAAATATAAGAAAGGGTGTGTTTAATGTGGGCAGAGTGCAGAAAGTTTTTGGATTACATTAGTATAGATGGTGAAAATTGAACGGGCAGAATCTTATTTAGTTAGAATTATTCCTACAGATGTTACATGATGGGTCGAAGGAACTATCTCAAAGCTCAGAGGACTCCTCAAAATTCATTCTATCCGATAAAAATAAGGTTTATTTCATTTTCAATAGCTAAGACCTGATTTGTTTAAGTCATTGTTCTAGTTAATCAGCACATTTATGAAGATCTAAAAACTTTCCACAAGTGTCCGTTCCCAAGAACAGGAGTAGTTAATGGTTAATTTTCTTTTTTGCATCAGCAAATCGGGGAAAAATTTTCTGAAATTGGCGGTAGGTTGGATTATCCACACCTAAATAAAGAACTTGCGCATGAGATTGAAACTCTCTGGGCAGATAGTGCCATACAGGTGTGTAGTGCTTCCATCTAAATGGCCTAAAATAGTTCTTGAATTTACTGGACTTTTATTTAATTTTTCCAATCCACTAATTGATTTTGATTTCAGGAAACCTATTGCCATGGAAATGAACTTCAAGTTCCAGAATGTACCCAGTATTTTATGGAAAATTTGCAAAGGCTGTCTGATGCAGACTATGTTCCTACTAAGGTATGTGAAAGTATAGCTTGCTGCTTGCATATATCCTCTTTCCTCTCATCTAAATTTAAAGTTTGTCTTCTCGTAAAGAAAATTATTATGGTATCAGATATTGGCTGATCAACTGTAACAGGCGATTGTTATGAGAGCTCACGGCATGCTTTTACATTTAAATTATCAAAAGATATGTCACAATTGTATGATGGGCTTTTTCCATATAGGGTAAATTCTATGTTTAACTGGTCAATACATCTCTGACTTGTGAACACAGGTTAATATCATTGTAATCTATTGAGATTTTCTAGCTGTTATAAAAATGCTAACATTTATATTCTCGTTCTGGACTTGATTTACCAAGATGAAGTAAATAGTAAAATATAGAGTTCACTACACCCGCTTCCTAGTCCAGCAATTGCCAATTGCAACTAATAAGTAAATATGTGAGTAGAATAATATCTCAAACAGTCACTTATTGAATGTCATCCGGCTTTCTTTTACTGCCTTCTTTTAAAAAAAAAAAAA